GGGAACGGGAATGCCGGGTGTGAAAGGCATCGGCGAGGCCGCGGGGGAAACGCGCTGGCCCTGCTGCTGTTGGGCTTTGCATCTTATACGTGGCTGTTGCACACCTCATATTCGCTCCTGGGCGTTTTCCTCTGGCCTATTTTATTTTATTTATTTATTTTTCTCCCCTGGTGTTTTTCCCTGTTAGTTTGGCTGTTTTTTAACCAGGATTTTTAACTGAGAAGAGCTCCTGGACCCAGGCAGCCATTTAAAGTTGGGCTTCTGCCCCAGGAAGCACCGTGTGCGCAGGCAGCGATGAGCTGCGGCAGGGCACGTTTAGCAGGATGAAGCGGTGTAGAAGCGTGTCCCTCGAGTCTCTTTTAGCGGAGAAGAGCCCCTCGTTTCCTTGTTCAGGATCACGCTTTCCCGGAGCTCGGAATGGCCGTGTTGCCAAAGGTGACCCACGATGCCTCGCTGCTTTTTGAGGTGCCTTTCCCCACTGCCACGGATAGAGCAGGGAGCGGGATAACATTAGCTAGTAACAGACACCAAAGGAGTCGCGTTCATTTTTCCATGGGAAGGAGGTCAGTGGCTGTAACATGGGTGTAGCAGCAAATAGAGAAGAGATTCTCAGGAAAGTGGCAGAAGTTTTGACTATCCAGCAGGAAAAAAAATGTATGCTTTTTTTTTTTTCTTTGAATTGCAGGTTAATTTTTGTGCTTTTATTTTCTGCACTTCTAGGCTTGGTAACTAAAATCCTCTACTCGCTGATCCCCCTGTTATGTTGATCTGGAAGGTTCAGCTTAGCCAGATTTCAGTAAGCCTTTTRTAAAGGGCCAGGCCAGCTCTGCATTTAACTCACATTTTTTGGTTTCTGTTCTGATTCAGAATAGCTTTTTTTCTGGATGGTTAAGATTTTGCTCATGTCCTCTAAAAGGCCACATTCCCTATATATCTCAATRATCCCGAACTAGAGCTTCCCTAGCTTCCTGGGCTTTTCCTAAGGTATTAAAAGTTGAAGTTTGTTGTGAAGCTTTGGACTGATGCTTAATGAGAAGACAATTAAATGCGAAGTGACATCTAATTGTGACTGCCCTAGATAGCCATCAAAGAGAGAGAAAAGTAGATGTGGATTCATCTTCATCTCAGCAGTTAATGCTGAAAACTACTAATAAAGACATTGCTAAGTTGCTGGCAAATAGAGCTAGGCTGGGATTGCTCACAAAATCTTGAGGATGTGAACAGAGATTTAGTGCTTTTATGTTTCCTGATCTGCTTCTCTTCAGATTCTTAGCCGTATCCCTTCCATTCCGGCAAGCTCTGGTGAGCTCTTGGCGCTTGCTTGTCCTGGATGCCGACTCGTCCCTCCATGTGCAGTGCGGTCGCTGCCGGCTCGCGGGCGGTCAGTGCTGCCCTTCCCGTGCACTGGGCGAGGACGCGTGCGGATCCCCCATGGAGCGACTCGGTGAGGACRCGTGYGGGGATCCCCCRTGGAGYGACTCGGTGAGGACTCGTGTGGGGATCCCCCATGGAGTGACGCGCCGGGGACGCCCGGTGTCTGTGGGGAGCGAGCTGCTCAGCGCGGGGAGCAAGTTCACGTACGCCAGTACGGACGAGTTACAGACTGCTCGATTCTTTGGGGCTCTGTAAGCATAACATGCACTGCTTGGTTCTTTTCTGCAGGGTTTTTTTAGCATGGATTTTGGTAGCCAGCGTAGTCAGCAACGTTACATAACTGTTTTGGGGAGGGAAAGGAAGAACAATCTATCCTTTTTAGCCTTCGGGGGAATTTTAAGTACACCAAGTATAATTACTCTCATTGGAAGGTATCCAGCAACCTAGAATTAACCACCGTTYTCGCACAACAACTATAACAAGATCATGTGATGATCATGAGTTTCATTTWAAAAGTGAACACTACAAATGAAAGGCTATTATGTAGTGTGTGCTGTTTATCTTTCTTAATTCTGTTTCACTGCTGCTGATCCACTGTCTTCTGCCCACCCTATGCRCTGCTGAAAGCCAAACACAACACAAGCTTTTCTTTTGACTGGGTCTTAAATGTTATCCTGGGGTGTCTGGGGAAATGAGATTTTCTGTGTTAATGGAGTTCATATGAAGCAGTATCAGAATTTATATATGGACCATAGTACCGACTGAACTGTGTTTTAAACAAGATAGCATAAGTGTTAGAAATGCACAATCTATGATTAAATTATCAGTATTTCTGTCTCTTCCCTGTAGCCTGCAGTAATCCTCTATTTTATCTACAAATACCATTAAGAAAAATATTAGTACTAGTAAAGTGTGACATGAAAATTATGGAGTTCATATGAAGCAGTATCAGAATTTATATATGGACCATAGTACCGACTGAACTGTGTTTTAAACAAGATAGCATAAGTGTTAGAAATGCACAATCTATGATTAAATTATCAGTATTTCTGTCTCTTCCCTGTAGCCTGCAGTAATCCTCTATTTTATCTACAAATACCATTAAGAAAAATATTAGTACTAGTAAAGTGTGACATGAAAATTCTAGTATATTTTAACAGCTAAAGTATGTGATCTAGAAAAGATACCATTATAACACAATCAAATCTCTGTATCCCAGTCTCTCCCAAATTCCTCGGACTAGTTACATTCTGCACACAGAATCCATATGCTGTGTGCAAGCTATTTTATTCTCTGTTCTATACGTGTAGGGTGGCCTGTTCACCTGAGGGGTTCTGGCATTCCCGTGTGCAGGCGCAGGCTGCAGGGCGGGTTTGCAGGCAGACGCTGCGGCGCAGCACGGCCTTTTAAGGGAGAACTATCTGTGCGGGCGTGATGGCCCTGCTGGACGCAGCGCTGTAGATGGCACTGCAGTAATTACTCGGAATTCTGCTGCTGCTTTCATGTTTGAGGAGCAGAATCCCCCTGTTTTTACAGCATTTCACTTCATACATCGAGCTGATCTTTGCTGATCTTTTCTGCATGCAGTAAGTGTCGTGATGTGTGGGACCTGGCAAGCACAGCTTTGTTTTGTCCACCTTTAATGAGTGCAYGGGCGAGGGAAGAGCTGCCCACCCCTCTCTCGGGATTGGCGCACCGGCTCCTTGGGAATGGTCGGCTCGCTCCCTCCTCCTTAAGCCTGGACTGAACAGGTCAAGCAACGCTGGATGAGATTATCTGGAAAGTGTACTGGGCTGCAAAAGAAGGATAAAGTTCTTTAAGAGGCGTCACTGCATGAAAAGTGAGTAAATACCATGCTGTGTTCATATGTGGAAGCTACAGGACGTGTATCGTAGGACTGTGTCTGASAACTGGGGGGCACTGCATGGCTTGGAAGCTGCCACACTGACTTAGTGACATATTTTACTTACATGGCTTCAGAAGGTTTAGCTGAGCCCCTTGTACTTCCTTCCTTGCTGCAGAACTGGGAGTGTTCAGCTATTTAATGTCTTATTCGGTAGCTTATCCTCTCATTTAGGCAAAATGTACGGAAGTTATTGGAAGTTTTTTCTTGTGTGCAGACCGACCTTGCTGATGTTACTGTTTTTTCCCCTGCAAGCTGACAGAGCACACGGCCATACTGCCCACCCCTCGGCTCCTGCTCCAGCGCCACAGAAGGCTCTCAGGGAATGGAGGAGGATAAAGGGCAGAGCGCTAAAGCCGCCAGCGCCGTGGGCGACCTAAGGAGGAGCTGGCAGACTTGGGCAGAGGACCACGTTGAGTACCAGAGGAAGAATCCCTTCAGCAGCGACGAGAGGCTTGCAGCCAGGCCTGTGCACAGCCCCCACGGAGACCCTTCCTACGGCAGACCCCCGGAAGGGTCCAAGACGGAGCAGAGGGGAAGAGACGCCCACTCGCACGTGGGCAGGGAGGTGGAGGAGCTCTGCGGCATCATAAGGAGCACCGGGGAGAAGGGAGAGGACGGACACGTGAGCGTGACGTTCCGGCAGCTCTTTGAGACGTACGTGACTATTTCCAACAAGGTGGTGGGGATCTTGCTGCGGGCCAGAAAGCACGGCCTGGTTCATTTTGAAGGTGAAATGCTTTGGCAAGGAAAGGATGATGATGTGATCATCACTTTGCTAGAATAAGGCTTTGCCACGTGGTGAATTCTGCTTCGTGTTCCCATTTGGAAAGAACCTCTCTAGATACCATCTTGAAAGAGATCTTCATTACAGAATTCCAACTCWGCGAATTAATGGGACATGAGTACAAGAGAAAATTGGTAAGAAGGATGAAAGGTGTTTTCATAAAAATGGTAGATATTGGGGACAGGAGTCACAAGCTGTTAGCTAGTCTGTTACTCTGCCAGTGGTCCGTCCTTTCATCATTATGATCCATCACATGTGGTTCTTTAAATGTCGCTGTGGGTTTATTGCTTTAGGTAGCTGAAAGCTTAAAATACTAATTTGCTACCATACAACACTAATCCTTGCAGGCTACGAAATACTCACTGTGTGGAGGATTTTTATGGTAAAACACAGAATTTAAGTATTTCTGTAGGAAATATACTTCATATACTTCTAGAAAGAGCTTGAGCTATAGCAAAAGCTTAATTATTTTCACGTAGTGAAGTTAAATAACTGAACGTTTTACTGACTCTCAGTAAGTATGTGAAGATTCCCAAGCTTACAGAAATATCACTCACTTAGGGATCTATAAAATATACAACGAGGGTACTACCTGGTTCCTCATCTGTTTGCATCTTTCGTGTATTCTGTAGACTGCACTAGTCCTGGTGTTCAGCAGCCTACTCTGACCATCGTATCTTCTGCAGAGCTTTCAAGTATCCCTTGTTCTTCTTCCTCTTTGTATCTCACTGTTTTCACCTGTTCTGTTCTTCTAATGCTACCTCATCCTCTAGAAGTTCAGAAAGTTTGGCAATCTTTGGGGGCAATTTCATTCTGCTGCTCCTTAGAAAGTAGAGTGCCACAACGCAGAGAAGTGAAAAAGAATGGAAATGGTGTGTTAGTGAAAGGAGAAAGACAAAACCTTTCACTTCTTCCAGCAAAACCCAGCAGTGCTGTTCACAGCAGGAGGGTAGAGATTCTAGAGTGCCAAACGCATGAAGAAAAACACAGCAGTGAAGTCGCTGACCTCACTTGGTCAGGCCGAGCTGTGCCTTCAGTGCACAGCTGAGCTCTCCAAACTGGGAGAAAGAAAGAGCTGCTGTTTAAAAATGGGCCTGAAAGGTGACATTTCTTTTTCTAAATCTCCCAGGGATTTTTTGGTAAACTTTTTTTTTTTTAAAAAAAGCTTTTTTTAACCAGCTTAAAATGAAAGCTCTTATGTGGAGAAACTCTTAGGGGGTGCTAACTGTATTACCCAGAGGATTTTTGAAAAAGAATATTCCATTGCTTCAGAAGGATTTTTAGACTTAATATAAATTATAAAAAGACTTCTTTGCAAAAAGCCTGATATTTTTATATTTTCATCAGATATTTGCATCAATTTTTTTTTTGTTGTTTCTTTCAGCAATAAGAAATGACTAAAAATATATTTTGTTATCTCTGTCCCTTTTTCCTMGTGAAAAGGTAATTAGAAGAGCAAATAGAGGGAGAAAAGAAGGTGCCAACATAAGTATATACGAGATTCAGGGAAGCCACATATAGCAYAGAAGGGGAAACAAAGGATGTGTTTTATTATCATATAATTTTAGTGTGTTGAAAACTGCACCAGACACTGTGTTTAATATACTGAAAGTGCTGTGTTTTTAAAAAATAATCAATCTCTTGCCAAAACAACAGGCACATGCCTCGGCAGATTTCAGTTCCCACTASATAAAGCCTGGGCACCCAGTGTATAAAAATTAATTTCAAAATCAATCTCAAGATTGTTACATCACAGCTATGGGATGCAGTTTAATTTTAATCTATTTTAAATCCAGTTGGTTCTGCTCTAATGTTGGTTTATAATTTGTACAAAACAGTATGAGGCAGTTGAAGTATCACTAACAGGCTGACCGCATCCAGAAAAATAATCAGAAAAAAAATAATTATTCTCAGCAAGCCCAGCTAGTGTTTGGGCTCTGCTCTGCCTCTGCTGAGATGAAAGGGGAGCTCCTGCAGCCTTCCAAGTTCTTGTTGTGAGAGAGTTAARCCACAGGAATCTGGGCCTCAACTGCCATTTATGCAGTTTGTGTTARGTACTTATATAGTCTCTGTTGCCCTCTTTCCAGCTACTGCCGAGTGCATCCACAAGAGCTGTCAGCAGAGCTRGGGTCCATCCACAGAGGTGGATGTGGGCTGTGGTCATAACTCTGTGGCTGTGGTCATAACTCTGATTAGTATCAAAAGATAGAAAAGGAGAGTAAGTCCTAATTTGCTGGTCAGATCAACTCTGTAAGCAAGCTTTCCCTATCCTATTTTGGGTAAATCTAAGAACTAGTATCAGAGAGATCACTTATTTAATGATAGATATGTATTTTTTTAATAATCATAGGGCCAAATTTGGCGCTCTCTGCCAGCTCTAGKTGAATGTTCAGTCAAGGCTGACTGCTTTCCATCGTGCGTATCCACACAACCGTCACAAACACGAGCAAGCTGCCAAACTGTGTCAGCTCCCAGGCTGACACACGTCCTGCTTTCAGCRGGAGCTGTTACTCCACAAGAAGTCTAAAGGGTAAGTGCAATTGATGGAGCTGTCTACTGATATACTTGAGAATAAAAATTGCTCCTAAAACCTGTACAGTTAGRTATGCATCATATCCAGTGTCCAAGGCTGGACCTAGCTCCTAGTTTGCAAGCTACAGAAATTTCTGCCTTGTCATCTCCYATGTAGAGGAGATACTGACATCTGAAGATTAACCAGTTTTTAATTTTAATGCAGTGGGCCGCAATTAAAATCCAAGGAGCAGCTAGACTAGTAGGTCATTTTCACAGGACATTAAGACATGAGTTTATGTAAGTATGACAAGATTATTTGGCGTAGTAAGTAAATTTTGACCTTCTGAAAGCCATGACGTTACTTCGAGCTCGTCAGATATCTCCTACTTAACATTGTGTAGCAAGCTCATCAACTGCTTCAGGCTTCAACTGGAAGATGAGAAAAGACAAATTCTACATGGGTTTTAGACAATAAATTGTACAAGAATTATMTGTATTTTGTCTTGTAGAACACTGAAAATCCCTTCAATAAATACTGTACTTCAATTTTACAGGACTGCAATATTTTTTTAAGTAGGTTTTTACTGTTTCCTAGTCTGACAGATTTCAAATATAACTTTAATCCGTTTGTACTCCCTTTTTTATGCTTTATTTGCAAYTCATGCCTAAGAAGACTTTCTAATAGCCTGAAAATCTATTAGCAACTTACCAGCACTGAAAATGCTTTTCTTAGTTATATGCTTGAAGATTTTTTTTATTTTACATTTAACAGTATTGTATACGCATATCCTTCACTCGTTCATGAAGGGCAAGCAGTACTTCAGCATAAAAGCCTTGCTCTGGGGGCTTGCGTGTATGTAAAACAATACAGCAAACGAGTACAAATAAAGCTTGTACGTGTAGTCAAAAAAGCTGCTTTTCACAGAACTGCTAATACTGGATCAAGGAACAACAGAGCAGTGAGTAGTAGCTATGCAAATTTCCTCTTCTTCTTGGGCTCTTATATCCCAGAAAAACTGCTGAGTTGACTCTCCAAAAAAAGTTATTTAACTACTTCTGCCCATTGGAATGCTCCAGAAAACGTTCTGGAAATTTTAAAAACAGAGGATAAGACTGCCGTAAAAGAGGACAAACATCACCAATGGGGTCTGCCACCTGTGTTTTCTGGAGAATGGCCAACGATTCTCACAATTACTCCAAGTATTAGTATTTACAGAAAATATTCCTTGGTCTAATTAACAAATCTCTTTGGGGCCCAGGAAGAACACTTGCCACTACAGAAGGGAAAGAAAATGCAGTTCTCCACCTGAAAACACTAACRAGATACTGAGTACTTCTGTTCATCTCAATAATTAATGTGGCTCTCTTTATAATTACACTTTCCTAGCTAAGCCAGTTTGAGCATGGTCTGCTAATGACAGTTTGACTGTTTTCCACCTTGTTCACCAACAAAAGTTTGAGAAGCTACATTATATCCTGATCTCACTTTACAGTCCTAAAGCCAGTTRTACTTTGTCAAATATAACAGAACTTTATGAAAGTAATAATACTCTACAGCAGGGCTGCAGCTCACCTTTATTTACATACATCAGACCTAAATGGAGTGAGTGCAATTGATTTTAATGAGAGATAAGGAGTCTGATATACTGATTGGTGCAAATTTGGTGATTGGTGCAAATTTCCTTTCCATGCCCAGTAAAATCATATTAACCTCCTGATGGACTCTGYATTTAATTTCCAGCAGTTTCCATGCTACTATTACTATTTTTAACAGTGTCAACATACCAAAATCAGCTTGTCTTTGCACTTCAGTGGTTCTGTACAGGTTAAAACATCTAGAAATTGACCTTCATGTGTCCTTCTGTTTACATTTGACAACCATTGTAAGATTCCAAGATTAGTGATTGTTCTTTATTAACCCTTTTGACAAGAGTTCATTATACCTTAAATATTACATGTCACAGTTAAGTACTGTTATATATATAAACTACAAGTCAGAAGACACATACCTAGTATTAACCGTGTTCAAATATTTCATAAATTTAGAAGCCAATCTAATCCTAATCTACTGCACAGAATTAGTCAAAATTCATTGGCTTTAACTCTCACTTCTCTTAGCTAAACTTACAAATCAAACCACAAAGTAATGCAGATGGCATGTGAGTGTTCACCTATAAAAACACAAAAAYATTAGGAAGAAGGTCTTGAGGAAAGGAAAGATGTAAACTTCTGGAGAGAAAATGTTGGTGCTTAGAATGGGGTCAAGTTTCTGAAATACTGTGTATCATTTACTGAATGAATACTACAATACATTGTACCCACTAAGGCAACAGTGCTGGATCAGTGGAAACCACTGAGAAGAGGAGGTTCAGGGAAGCTTGCAGGTGCTGCAGAACATCGTCACCTTAGCTACAAGTATCAGCTAAGGACACTTGTTTAATTAGGCACTGAGAGATACACCCTGTGAGCAAATAATTCCACTCTCTCTTTTCTGGAACTTCTGCTTTGCTAACAGTCTGCCTTAAAACAGTATTGAAAACCACAGCACTCACACTACTGGTTAGAATCACAGTAAAGCCACRCACTGGCAAGCTCCTTAAACAATTCAGAACACAATTCATACGTGTCACAGTTTTGGGCTGAGTTTCTGCTAGTCCATGTTCAAATCAGATGACTGCTATTATGCAAGACTGCACATACTCACTGCACGAAAGACCCATTCTCTTGTGACTTCATTTAGAAAATCAAATTTAGCCAAGATATTAGTACACTCCAAGTGACTTTCAGTAAGAGCATTGTCAGCATAATCTCAAAATTTGATTTCCCTCTTATATTGTCATATATTAAATCATTTATCTGAACTCTTCACACTCTTCAGAAACATACAGTAGCTAATTTAAAATACTGTGCAGATAAGAAGGGAAATAGTCTTTTAAGTCCAACATATAAATGCTTATATGCACATTTAAATTATATTCTATATTATCATCAACACATCTCAGACACATATYGTATTAACATTTATGATGTCACCGTCATGCAGGTAAGAGAGGTAATATACTAAAGTGGTTTAGCAACCAGAAAAATGGTGCTTTTGCAATGTATTTACCAATAACTATGCATAACTAAAAAAAGGACAGAAAAGTACAGAAAGGATGGAAAGTTTATGTCTTAAACGTTACTTGCAATCCCAGAACAAAGTATTTTTTAAATTAAAAATCTAGGTTCCACAGCAAACATTCCTTTTGGTATCATGTATTAGGGGTAACTGTTGTTTCCTTAGTTGCAAATACATTCTACAATTTACTAGGAAAAGTAGGCTGCATGTATGTGTGTATATATATACATACATGTATGTATATGTACCTGTATGTATACTTCATCTATAGAAATAAAAAACTGTCATWAAAATACATTGCCTCACCATCAGAGAAGTGCATGGACGTCTTAGGTACACAGACTGCAACTTGTTGGCAGTTACAAATTCTGTGTGTTTCTTTATAAAGAATTAAAGTCTTTTTATCCTGGTATATTATTACTAACATCAAACCGTGCAACCTTCAATCAGAAGCCATAGACAAAGAACCAAATTTGTTGGTGACTCAGAGCTCGTTGGGCTTTCAGCTGGTGTCATTTTCTGTTTGCAGTCGCTCAATCAGTTGTTCAGCCTATGAAAGAAAGCAATACATTAACTACACAGTTACTGAGTTTACTGAAAATTTCTGTTTAAAAAATACCAGTGATGGGGATGAACAAAGCACATACTTCTCATCTTGCAGAGATAAAGAGTAACACAGAAGTAAAATGCAGTAACCATKTTAAATAACAAACTTTTTCTATCAAACTGTTACTGGCTGATCAGGACCGGAAGCACAAACTGTGCAAGCTGGAATATGTCTGAGTAAACAGTAAGTCAAGAAGCATGATTTTAAAGATCTTAAAAGACAGCAGTGGTCAGGCCAACGGACCTATAAGAACTAGTTGCTACTGAGAACCCTTTATTGTCAAGTCTCAGTGAATTAATCTTCTCACTAGTCCTTGAGGAACCATCTTAAAAAGAAAGAAGCTTAAGTCTAGTATTTTTAACACACATAGCAGACAAAATCAGCTATTTTGGTAGAAACAGCAAGACTTGTGCAGGTCTTGCAGTTAATTTGGGAAAAAAAAGCTAGAAAAAAAATAACTGAAAATAAAGTTCTCAAACTTGCTTTACATTCTTAAACAAATACCACATTTAAGTTGTTAATAATAAAAGAATCAACAACACTTTGTTTTCAGTTTGTTAATGGGATATTGCAAAATATCTCTGGAAGTACTTCCATACCATATAACCAAACTTGGAACTTGCAGAGAGGGTCCAGCATAGAGCGACAAACATGACAAAGGAACTGGAGCATCTATCTTATGAGGAAAGATTAAGCGAGMCGGGCCTGTTWAGCCTAGAGAAGACTGAGAGGGGATCTGATCAATATGTACAAGTACTGAAGAAGAGAATGTAGGGAGGAGGGGGACAAACTCTTCTYGGTGGTGGACAGTGATAGGGGGGCAATGGATATAAATTAAAACACCAGAAGTTCCATCTCCATGTGAGGAAGAACTTCTTTCCCGTGAGGGTGACAGAGACCTGCAACAGGCTGCCCAGGGAGGTTGTGGAGTCTCCTTCTCTGGAGATCTTCCCAACTCACCTGGATGCCACGTGCTCTGGGTGTCCCTTCTGGAGCAGGGRGCTTGGACTAGATGATCTCTAGGGGTCCCTTCCAACCTCAACCATTCTGTGAGTCTGTGATCCCTAAGTAACCCCAAGCAGTAAGCAGTGTAACTACACAGCTGCTCTAATCTGAGGGCCTAGTATCTCTCTGTGAAGTTGTACTGCACAGACACATCTGCTTGTTTGGACCTAGATGAGAATTCCAACAGGGTGCAACCAAGAAGCTTGACTTCTCTCTCTCTTTTTTTTTTTGAGGGGTCGTGGTAATTGTGGTAAGAGGCTCTCTAGAGTCTCTCTAAAAGGAGATACCACCCCCAAAGACACCAGGATKGGGTAGCTATGGTGTAGCTGCATTGCAAGGATAAATTCCTTGCTTTTCCAGATAAACAGTGAAAATGTCTAATATCTATTCACAGATACCGGTACAAGAAAAATATTTTTTGTAAAGCAGGAACTTGTTGCAATCTAAAGACAACAACATGAGAAAAGCTTCCTGTGAACTGACAGAAGCAGCCAGTAGGTAGTCATGTTTTTCAGCTAAATTGGATTAACCAAGGTATACATAATACCTATTCCATTATGTTCCAATATATTTTCCAGCATGAATTTCCAAATTCTAATGTATTTTTCCACAATAATAGTTGTGCAATAAGTGCAATCAGAAGTAAAACATATTAACAGAAGCTACACATCAGATCCAAAAATACAAAATTGTTTGCTATTAATGCTACTGTCACTTGATTTTCTCAGTAAGTATAAATACTAAATTTTAAATGTCTATTTTCAGTTAAGATATGTGAAATTAATAATAGCAATGACTAAAATAATTCTTCCAAGATTTTCACAACAAAGTGCTTTCAAAGATATCACATTTTCAGCTTGCAGCTGAAAAGCTACTGACATATCTGGAATTACACTTACCGTGATAAACCAGTAAGAATTGACTCTGTAAAGCAGCCTGGCCAAGAATCCTAGCTGACTGGCTGGAGCCAAGACGTGAAGATGCAAGTGGGCTATTGAGCAGAACGGAGGCCAGTGAAATCCCATTCTTCAGAAAAGGAAAATGAACAAGTTAAAATATTTTTATTAGTTCAGAAAGAAGATGAACATCATAAGTCATTTACCATGATTAACTGAGTTAAGAGCTGAACTTTTAGTCTAGCATGTCAAAAACATTACATTTTACTTTTATATAAGGGCATGAACAAAAGCATGTGTTTTCCTTTGAATGTGCTCTCCAGGCACTTCTTTCAAAGCTCATTAATATCCTGCTTTAACTTCATTACTTAAAGTATATTTTCTTTTTAATCCACTCTCTCTTTTTGAAGTATGATATACCTTAAATGTACCATTCATAGTTTTCTGCTATAAAGTCAACTGTCACCCAGATAAAAGTATCTTCTACCTATTTTAAGCAGGCTGGACTACCTTTCTATACTCCATTTCAATTATGTTTCCATTTGTTTCACTTTGCAAGTGAATTTATAAATAGTTTAAAGGAGATTAACTACTGAATATACTGGCTTAAACTATAGTTAAACCAATGCAGAGAAAAACAATGCAATGCCCTGCTCAAAGAGGCCAAAGTTTACCTCTTTCCCAGGATCTAGAACTTTGGAGCATACACTCAGCATATAATTATAAGAGCTGCCTTTTAGACATCTTATTTGAAGTGTCATTCCTTCCCCAACATGAGCAAGAAAATTTCAGAGTTCTGATGAACTTTTAGTGCAAATTTCCTCACCAAAAAAAAAAAAGAAAAAAAAAAAAGAAAAAAAGGCAAACAAAAATCCCCCCAAAATGCTTTTACCCAATGTCAGCTATTCTACTTGAGAAGTCAGGCAATAAATTCATCCAACCCTCCTTTAATAAATCATACTCTAGGTGTTACCAGTATCTCTAAAATACCATTTTGGAAAAGTCAAGAGCATATATAGAGGCTGCACTTACATACCTTACATCATTCATGTCATTAAAATTATTATGTTGCAGGACATTTTTTCCTACTTCCATCATTTTCTTCACTATTAAATAGAAAAAAAAAAAATCACTTAATGCTTAGTCTTTTATGCACCGTATGTCTTTAGGTCAAGTAATTTGGAAAATTTCTTTGCTTTTCAGAGGCAAAATCTTCAAATATTAATTTCAATAAACTAAACTGAGAACACAAGCCCATGCACTTTACAATACACATTGTAGCTTATAACAATCAGAAAAAGACTGTAGAACAGTTTACTACAAAGAAAAAACACCTATGTCACTGATTTTCACAGTCATGAGGCATTCTATGGCATTATTCTACCAGCATTGACCAAAGCCATGGTCTCACCTTGCAGAAAACCCGCAAACAGCAGTTAGTCAGAATGACACGTTTACACTGACTACACATATTGCGGTGTCTACCAGCTCTGGACAGCTCCACGACTTACTTCTCAAGCTACTGAGGTGAAAGTCTGATAGGCAACCTGCTGTTTTTCTTTAAGCCTTTTTAAAGTTAGTACACAAAAATAAAGACTTATAAGTTAGAATGCTCTAGAGATGATACACCAATTTAAACTAAAGTAATTAAAAAGCTTTTGATCCTACTAATAAACTTTTTTTTTTCCTGCATCATATCAGTAAAGAGAGAGGCAATTCTAAGACAAGATCTTAGGATAAAAGTCTAGAGGAATTGTTCTGAAGCCATATACACACAAAAGCTGGTTCTGGAGAAGAGTGCCCTAGATTTAGAATACACAGAGAAATAAGAAGTTGCAACACACCACTACATATCTCTTTGCTTGCGTCACCTGTAATCTTCACTAAGGTGGAACCTGCTCACATGTTTATGGCCACAGTTTTTTTCCTGACACTCAGCACATCAGCAAAAAGAAAACAATTTTTTGAAATAAATAATCCCATAAATAAATAATCGAAAACACAACAAAGTTTCAATATTTTAGAGTTCTATCTCTTAAAAAATATTAGAGCTTACTAGAACAGTATTTTCTATTTATTTTTTCTTCTTTCATGAAAGATAACATACCATTTTATGAAAGATAGTATAAATAGATTTTCAAGATATTATTTARTAGTCCAAATATACACCTATAAAAAACAATGAAGTGGCATATGTAGGTATACTTTAGAAAAATAGCAGCAGAGGTAAACTGAAGAGGTTTCTCTACTCCACGGAAAGAGAAGGTGTGCTTCATCCACAACTACCTGGTGTTCCAAGCTGCAACTTGCTTGCCAAATCACTGCAGCAACCCAGAGCGCAAAATCACTTTCTTCCACGTTAAAGACACACTGTGGAGACTTGCAGCCTTACCTAGAGGTATGTGCTCTTTCTTCAGTGTCTTGCAGTTTCTCACGTGCTCCACGGGCACCACCAGGTAGTGGTGGGGTGCATCAGGTTTGATATCTCTGAAACAAACCAGGTCTTCGTACTGGGAGGGAACACAAAGCTGCTGAGTGTGCCAGGCTGAGGACACCGACAGACAAGCAGAGTCATTCCCCACACCAGCGTCACACTTGGTACTATATCTTGAAAGAGCTACGTAAAATCTCAGAATTGCAACATATTTTTTTTTTCCATTACCACATCAAAGTGAGTTATCTTTGAGTCTGTCTACAAAATGAGTTTCAAGGATGAGTTTTACCTCAGTCAGCTTCCTGCATTTGGGCCTCCTCAATACCAAGCAGCACAAATACCTGCCACACGACTGCTTTAAGGCTTCCAGCTGTTGCAGAAGCATTTAAAGAACAAGGTATTTTCCTTCCCCCTGATTAATGTCTCACACACGACTATCCCCAGAAAAGACAGCCTCCAAACTACGAAATAACCCCGGGAGTAGCCACCTTTTCAAGCGCCACCCTTCATTAGCTGAAAACAGACACAGCCGAGGAGAGAGAATCCAGGTTTATTTTGTATTCCATTATTGCCAACATAAAAGGGACCACACAAGGATTTAGGGATCCTTGTAAAGGATCCTTATAGGGATCCTTTTAAAAACACAGCGGGCCAGGTGCAGATTCCCGAGGCCGGGCAGCTCCGGTTCAGCCCGACGCTCCTCTGCGGGCCCCAGCCGCGCAGCCTCCGCGCTTCGTGCCCGCTTCCCCAAATCCCCCTGCCACTCCCTGCTCGTTTCCTCGTCTCTTCACTGCAAGGGCAACGAGCAGCGAGCGGTGACGGCGCCGGCAGGGCAGGGCACGGGCGCCCGCACGCACCTGGCAGGGCAGCAGCGCGGTGCGCGGCTCCTCGCGGCGGGCGATCCTGCAGAACACGCACTTGCCCTCGTAGCCG